ATTAGTTTCACAATAATAATTCCTAAGCTTGAATACATTTACATATTGGTTCATTATGCAAACAGCAATAACAAAGCAATTATAAATAAAAGTATGTTGGATTGACTAGTCAAGCTCACCAATCAACAAAGTACAGATTCGTCAGTTAATCAAAGGTAAATCTACGACAAACTTAGTTCACTACGAGTTATTATAGTCAACAACAAATCAGTTAATTGCTCATAATATGCAATGTAAACTTAGTCTCAAACACATATCAAATAACAATTTATAGGATGCGTGAAACATATGCAAGTAAATAAGATATGTGGACAAGCTTAAGAGACAAAGAACGCAAGAAGTTTTTGGCCAAAAAAAAAACCCACCTCTAGGTTAAAAAGCCCGAGACTCTCCACTGAGTCCAATCCACTAGTGAAATCAAGATTTTTACAAAGTAACCACACAAGCTCAATTCCTAAATCCTAATCTATGGAACGGCTTGTACCTTTGTGCAACCTTGCCTTTCACAAGATGGATTCCTTCGGTCTTCACGAAGTGCTAGCTCCTCCTAAGCACTTCACCTTGTGGCACCGAAATCAAATCAACTTATGCAAATGATGTTATGATGAAGTTGATGCAAATCTGGATTCGATGTCAAGTCAGTTTCACCAGTCAAACACTTGAAAGATGAAACTGATGCAAATCCAAAAGAAAAGTTATGAAGGTTAAAGAAATTACAAGGAATGTAAATTAATTGCGACACGATTTTTTCTCCCATATTTTGTCATGAAATGATTTAAAATGAGTGACATGCCAATTCAACTAAACAAAATAAATAATATGTCAATTAAGCTCATGAAAGAAATATCCAACCACAAACAGAAGTAAATAGGAATCAACAACACAGACATAACATAACAATGAAGTTTAAGCACAACGTACAATTCTCGGTACCAACAATTCCAAGCATAAGAACATGTCAATGTAATTAGTTCAAATCACCCATTTGTTCAGGATAACTAACAACAGCTAAACTAGCAGAACAACATATAAAAAAAATGGAGTTTCAAATTACAAATTAAAGCACAATTGTCAAAAAGTAACCTAATAGAAGTTGAACACCCCCAAGATTAGTACTTTCCTAAAAACAACTCCCCGACAAGCAATACCCCAACAACTTTCAAGTTAGAATGTATAAGAGACAAAATTACATAACTCTACAAAATAGAAATCGTCGTCAGAGATATAGTCATCCAACCCAAATTGACCAGAGATTAGCACAAACAAAGTTCAACAGAAGAGAGGTTCAAATACAACAAAGCCAAAATAGATCATGATTACCTATAAAAATTTGAACACCCCCATAATTAGCATTCTCCTAGACACAAACTTCCTTATAACCTTAAAGTTTACAAACTAAGTAGTAGCACCAGATCGGAAATATCCACATTTGTAGTAAATACACAATACAAGTATAGCAAAAGCACATTGGATAACAAATAGTAATACATCATACGAGAACGCCCAAGCAAATAAGCACAGGTAAGTGAACCAACTCCCCACAAAGGATGTATGCATTATAAATGAACTCCCCCAAAAACCAAGACCACAACTTGAAATAAGCATTAACAGTGAAAACCTTAAAAGATTTCACTTTTCTGACGAGGGATAGTGACTTAGCAAAAAAAAGAAGATGTCCAATTACAAATAGTTATGTGCACAAGCAAAAAATAATGTACCCAAACATATTTTTGCAAACACATAAAAAGATAGAGAATATGATAACAATTGTAATCATTGCACCAATAAATAACAGCAAAACCACAAGCCCTGAAGGGAATAAGTAAAACTAGTTTAAGACTCTTTTGGAAAGTATAGACCGAAAAATTAAATATGTAAATGGCACATCAGAGAGAGAGCATAGCATGCAAAAACTTTGGCAACATCAAGAATGAGATTTCCATTGTTCAAGATACGACTTAAAGGCTTGCCCTTTGGACAAAGTAACAGTGGGGGTCTTGATAGGCTTGACGTTGGTAGGCTTCTATGTCATAGCGACAAACGAACAACTCAGAAGGGTGCATAGTAGCAACGGAGGTGAAAGTGAAACCCTAGAGATGTTAGAGAATTTAAGTGCCTAAGATACCATGAAGAAATCTGAACCAAGGGACACAAATGGTTGAGATAATGAGGTTAAAAACATAAAGTGTAATAACATACATGCCCTTAAAAATCTTCACTTTTCATCATCACTAGGAGACACTTCTTCAATGGTTTTTGCTCATCATCTAATGATCTGCCAGAACAAACAGATTCTTTACTCTCGTTTTCACACCAGGTAGCCACCATTGTATTGTCACATTTCTAATTCGGTTTCTTGCTGTTTGCACACTCAGCAACCCGATGTCTAATACTACCACAAGAGAAACAAGGTTTAGGTTCATCAGTAGAAGGCTTATCTGTATGACTTATTATTCTTCCCTACTTCCTACCAAAAGTGAAATTTCCTTGAGATTGAAACAAGGAATCTTTTGAAAACTCTCCAGCCTTTTTGACATCCCTTCCTTTGTTCCTGATAGTCATTTTGAATTGTTAACAAATAAAACTAGATTATCTTCAAAAGATTGATTAGATGAATCCTTGGTGACCAAAGCTTCTTCAACACTTTGAAGGGCAACCTCCTTCCTCCTTTTTGAATCTCTTGTTTGCCATAGTGCAATATCAAATGTGGTTGAATTAAGTCAATGAGATGGCAATGACGATATCATTCCTTGCTGTCCTATTAGCCATAGCTGATGTGACTTCACTGGGTTCTAATCACACTTTGCTTTTACAAATTAGTTAGTGATATAAAGGGCAGTTGTAAGAACAAAACCTAACTTACCAATACGTCCAACTAATCATAGTCTGCCCATATTAGTTTCACAATAATAATTCCTAAGCTTAAACACATTTACATATCGGTTCATTATGCACACAAGAATAACAAAACAATTATGAATTAAAGTATGCTGGATTGACTAGTCAAGCTCACCAGTCAACTAAGTACAGATTCATCAGTTAATCAAAGGCAAATCTACGACAAACTTAGTTCACTACGAGTTATCTTAGTGAACAACGAATTAGTTTATTGCTCATAATGTGCAGTGTAAACTTAGTCTCAAAAACATATCAAATAACAATTTATAAGATGAATGAAACATATGCAAGTAAATAAGATATATGGACAAGCTTAAAAGACAAAGAACACAATAAGTTTTTGGCCGGAAAAACCCACCTCTGAGTTAAAAAATCAAGGATTCTCCACTGAGTCCAATCCACTAGTGAAATCAAGATTCGTACAAAGTAACCATACCAGCTCAATTCCTAGATCCTAATCTACGGAATAGCTTGTACCTTTGTGCAACCTTGCCTTTCACGAGATGAATTCCTTCGGTCTTCACAAAGTAGAAGCTCATTTTGAGCTCTTCACCTTCTGGCACCGAGATCAAATCAACTTATGTAAATGATGTAATGATAAAGTTGATGCAAATTTGGATTCAATCTGTAGTCAGTTTCACCAATCAAACACTGAAAAGATAAAACTAAGGTGAATCCAAAAAAGGTTAGTTTGAAGATTTGAAACTTGAAAAACTTGGCCACAAACTTTGAACAAAATCACAATGACAATGCTACCCTAATATGCAACTATTTGAGTGTTTAATGCATGAGTGTGATTTTGTGGCTAGGGTTTCTGATGAGGAACTCAAAGAGGCAGCTCCTGTTAGGATGCCAGATCGCATCATTTTGTGGTGACTCTACATCTTCCACAATTGCACAGACAGATAGTAACATAACATGAGGACAACAATACAATTTCATTAACTGCCTTTCTTCTCTTACAATGTACTATTTATGCTAATACTCAACTCTAGTTGTCACCACAAGACATCCTAACAATACCCCTCCCTTAAAACCAATCTTACAAGTAAGATTTACAATTTCAAACTAAGTACAATTGAAAACCAGCAACAAAACCAGAAACAACAAAATCACAAGAATGTGTTAAAGGTTCATAATTTCTGGAACTTAAGCTTCAGTTCATGGTGTGGTCCTCTTCAAGACCCTTGAAGCAACGAAATCTCGCATCAAACATTACCCTTTGCCGCACCTTGAGGTGAAGATCATCTACACGTTGTTTTCAAGCTCAAAACTTGAAGCAATCACTCAACCTTTCGTTCAAGATCAAGTCATCACAACCCTTGGATCAACAATCACGCATCTACATCAAATTTGAAGACTGAATTAGAGGAAAATTGTAAACAGAGATTGTAACCTTACAAATTCATCAATACAAATCTACTTTGTACACGTGTTCTCGTTTCATTCAATACATAATTTTTGTGTTTACAGAAATTATTGAGAGGGATTTGGTTTCGTGGAATTCCATGATTTCTGGTTATTGCAAAATGGGATGTGCTGGAAATGCGGTGGGTTTATTCTGGGAAATGAAGGGTGATGGATTTGAGCCTAATGAAACGACTTTGGCGACGATTCTTGAGCATGCGGGGACATGGGAGATTTGAGTCTGGATACGTGGGTGGAGTGTTTTGTAGTTGAGAAGAAATTGGAGATGAATTCTTATGTAGGCTGTGCGTTGATGGGCATGATAAAAGTCCTCAGAAATCCATGGAAAAATTTATACAAATCCATAGAAATCTATAAGTGAAATCCATATAAATTTGTCAAAATCCATATAAGATTGTAGAATTTATTAAAATTCTTTAAAATATGTCACTTAAAAAGGTCTATTAAATTCCTCTGAAATCAAAGTTAACTACACCCCTAAATTTTTTGAGGTTTTAAGAACTTAATTTATAAAAAAAAAAAAAGTGTTATTGACACTCCAAAATTTTTATTCTACACTTCTTACAAATGTATTTTTTTTTCCGAATATAGAAAGTTTGGAAAAAATTTTAAGTGGCAATAACAATCCCCAAAAACAAAAGCGCAAACGGCGAGAAACTAAAGCAAGTCAAACAAAGTAATAGAGCAAGCTGTGGTTCAACTCAATCCTCGCCTTGGTATCTGTCTGTCAGAACTCAAAACATAATAGAATAGTTTGCCTGTCAAACCTCAAAAGTCGAAAACTCAGGGTGGGCTGAGGCTGATGCTGCTCTGCTGCGTTTAATTTATCAAAATGGTGAGTGGATTTCTTTTCTGCGTTTAAATAATATTCGGTTGATTGATTTGATTTGATAGATAACAATAACCCTAACAAATGATAACAACTGATAAGATGGAAGCACAGGAGGTGGAGGTGGAGGCGCAGGCGGCGACTGAAAGTGGCGATCAACAACTCAAGCTTTATTCCTACTGGAGGAGCTCTTGCGCCTACCGTGTTCGAATTGCTCTCAACTTGAAAGGTCAAATTTTCCCCCTTTTTTCTCTAAAAGAAAAAAGTTAAGTATTCATTCAATTGTTGGTTCATTCATGCAATAATTTATTATGTACTGAATTAACAATAATTAGGGTTGAAATACGAGTACAAAGCTGTAAACCTACTGAAGGGAGAGCAATTCAGTCCGGGTTAGTTTAGTTTTTCTCTCCCTCTCCGTCCTATGACAATTGACAAACACCTAACTCATTTGTTGTATTTCTGTTTAAATTATTTACTATAATTTGGTTGTTTGCAAATTGCAAATTGTTGCAATAAAAGCAGAGTTCAGAAAGCTGAATCCGCTCGGGTATGTGCCTGTGCTTGTGGATGGGGACACCCTTGTTGCTGACTCATTTGCCATCCTAATGGTAATTGGTACCTCTTGTTTCTACTTTCTCCTCTATCTTCTTATTACACTTGTTCATTGCTTCTCCTCCATCCAAATTCCAAATTCCAAATACCCAATATTCCATTGCATTGCATTAATCTTCTTCTTTATCTAGTATTTAGAAGAAAAGTACCCGCAACATCCATTGTTACCGCTCGATCTTCAGAAAAAAGCTATCAATTACCAGGTCAGGCCTAACTGCTTCTTTCTCTTCTCCTTTTAATTGTTCATTCCTTTTCTCAACTATTAGTATTACCAATTCAAAGGAGAAAGAAACCAAACAAAAATAGATGTATGCATATGGTCCTTGAAAACTCCCCTTCCGTTATACTATGTTTTTCCATTTAGAACTAATTGGGCGCATCATGCACTCAATGCCTTTAAAATAGGCGGAGTGACTCAATTTATTGGTGCAATACAAGTAATTGTGCTAATGTCACAATGAGAACATAAATGCTTAACAAGTTGCGGCCACGGCTTAGCCAATTGGTAACCATACATCTCGTCCGATCATGAGGACCCCAGCTCAATTACTCTCTCTGCCAAATGTTGTAACTGATGAAGATATTGTCGTCAGTGTGCCTGTGACAACCCTCAGTATCATTGGCTGAGTTCATTAGTTATATTATGGTTTCCAATTTTATCCTTTTGACTTGGCAAAACATTTGCAACTTTCCCAGAACTGCACTGATGAGTACGCTATGGCCTACACGGCTACACACATGATGTGGATCAGTTGCTTTTACTGTCATTTTGAGGAATGGAAAATTAATTTCACCTGTAGTGGTGCTTAGTACTATATTGTGTTTAGCACACTGAGTGATGCTAATTCAACTAAGGAAAAAGTATCATGCCCTGCCCGTGGGATATATTACTAGTAATTTAAGTTTCCAATTATAACTGTGGAATGTTCATTATTCTGACCAAATAACTTATCTAAATTATGTTATAATAAGATTCTTAAATATATGTTCAAAATTCTAATGCTATTAGCATGTCCCTTATCACCTGATATGCAGGCTGCAAATATTGTTTCCTCAAGCATACAACCTCTACAAAATCTGGCTGTACTGGTAATTAGCTGGATCAAATATTGAGTTCACTTCTCATGATACTATTATAACCTAAATGATATAGATCTTGTTTTGCTGCTTTTCCAACTTACAGAAGTACATTGAAGAAAAAGTTAGTCCCGATGAGAAACTTGAATGGGTTAAAGTTCATATTGGAAAAGGCTTTTCAGGTATGATTTGCCAAGGCTATCAATTCATCCTTCCCCTAGAATAGATATAATGATATTTCCACCTCAAACTTGCTTCTCTATTCCCCAACTCACCCCAAATGTGGAAGATTTATCAAATCATAATTTATGTGATACTTTCATGTCTTTCAGCACTTGAAGAACTGCTGAACAACCATGCAGGAAAATATGCAACTGGAGATGAAGTTTACATGGTCTGTTTGCTCATTTTGTCCTTTTTCTTTTATTCTTCGTTTTCAGAAAAAAGACTCACAATCCTTTTCTATGTTGGAAAATAAGAAAACTGATGGAAACATTTTGAAATAATTTGACTCAAAAACTAGAGTCTAACCACAAAAAATCCATTTTTGAGGCAGGTCTGAGGGTACTGGTTTTTTTTTTATTTTTTTTATTATGGTATGTTTTAGATTGATGGAAGTTTGGGTTTGGGTAACCAGAAGAGTTTATGGGGAATGAATGTTTTGGGGTTTCTGTGATTCTAGAGAAATAAAGAATAATAGAAGGTGAAGAGAGAAGAAAGGACATACCAAGGCACCAAAAGATATACATATTTATAGGCTTATAATAGGACTCCCAAACACTCCTAGAAGTACTAAGAGTCCCATTAAGTATGAGAGCATATGGAAATTGATGGGTTTTACAAAAAAGATGGTGGAGTAAAGAAGTTTAGGTGTATATGATGTAGACTTTTGAAAAGTCCATAGCAGTTTTGTGGTATTCAATTAGAATTTTTAGAGATTCCATATAAGTCTTGTGGTATTCATTGAAGATTTTTAGAAAATCTATGGAAGTGTTGTGATTTTCAAAATGTAATTACGTGAACCCTAAAATTTGAGTAGCATATTTGCACGGCAATGTCACTTTCTAATGTTCCACAGAACAAGTGTTAGTGTGAAATTACTTTATCTCTAACATATTGACAAATATTTGCAGGCAGATTTGTTTCTGGCACCCCAGGTTTATGCAGCCATTAGGTTCCAGCTAGACATGGTACTTACCATTCGATTCTTGTGCAAGTTACAACTGTTGCAAATGAACATTTATTCACTTGATTCGCATGGTGTTGGAAACTATCCGATTTTGTGGCGTTGTAATGTTTCCATCACATGATCAAGTTGTTGTCCTTTTGGTCAGAAATCAAGCTCCTATCTGATCCAACTTTCAGGAGCAACCTGTCTTTCTTCTATTTTTAGCTATATTTTTTTCATAAGAAACAGTAAGAGCTTGTTTTCGACATTCATATCTGTTCTTATGGTACGAACGGTAGCTTTTCACATTGACGTGGAAATTGGTGTTCATTAATTAGGGGTTTATATCAAGGTAGGTTTACCACAACTAAGGTACTTACAGGGACTTGGTTAAGAAAAGATACATGCAGAGAGTGCAACAAACGTCTCTTTCCTTCAGAATAATACAAACAGCTTATCATTCATATTTCTTTCTCCCTCGATATGTAAACTTAGAATAACCATATCTCTCTCTCCCTGATATGGGACTTTGTATCATTTGCTAGAAATTTTGAGGTGGGTTGGTGCGAAGAACTCAATTCTACTAGTTCAAGGCCTAGGTTGACATTTGAAATCTAATCGATTTGTTCAGTGTAGCAAGTCTCTGTTCATCTCTTAATTGGCTTGTTTGAGCTAAGGGGTTTCTCTTACCCTTGCTTTTTTGAGAATTTATGGTCCAACTTTCAAGTGGCATTCTCCATCTGCATCTTCTGATTAATTTCTTTATACTCAATGTTTGTGCAGACTCAGTTCCCCCTTTTGGCCAGGTTGCATGAGGCATACAAAAAGATACCGGCATTCCTAGATGCTATACCAGAAAAGCAGCCGGATGCTCCTTCTCCATAGTTAAAAAATTGTGTTGAAGAGGTTTGAATTGACATTTATTAAGTTAACTCTCTTGGTTAGAGTATAGCATATATCTAATATTCTGGTTAAATCTGGCATTTGACGTATATGTGAGGCACCATACGAACGAAATGCTTATTGTTGCTTTTGTGTTGATTGGTGCTTCAGGGACCCTGTTTGAAATCGTCGGTTCCATTCTTCTTAAACTTCCTTTTAAAAATCAGATGAAGCTTGTCCATCCCAAAGTCCAGCATAAAGGGTCGACAATTAAGGTCTGAGTTGAGGCATTTGAAATGTTGTATATCACTCAGGTGTTGGTCCTGTCCAAATAAGGATTATCCCATGATGGAACAATGATGAAACTGTAGAATGTTGTGTTTGAAACGTTGAGTGATGTAATGGTTTGGAATGTCTGTCAAACTAGTCTTTTGAAGTACACATCAAATGTACTTGGACGATACAGCTTCCTGTATTCTCGATACAATGACTTGTCAGTTGTTTAGCAATCGGGTCTGTATATATATCTACACACACATAGATTGGCTAAATGATTTAATGACTTGTCAGTTGTTTAGCAATCGCGTGTGTATGATTTAAATGATTTTGTGTGCGTACTCTTAACAAGGGAAGAATTCCCAACTATACCAACCCAACCCCAGGATGAAATGAAGTTTTTCCAATTCGTCCATCTGTCGGGTCTTCTGGATTGTGGACTTGAATTATATTTCGGTTTGTGCCTAGTGTCCCATGGGGAGGATACTGTTGCCAATGGCGTTGTTCAGTATTGTGTAGTGATAAAGCTGCGTTGACGATTGCGTGGGGTTCCAATGCAGGCTGAGAGATATTGAAGATTCTCTAATCTCTAATAAGATAAAATCATCTCATATTTAATAAAGGAGAAGAGAGTGTGATGGGAATACCCTCAAAAAATGCACCCTCAAAAAATGCAGGCAGGCAGCACGTTAGATCAATCTTCATAAAAGTTCAGGTAAAACTAAATTTCAAATTATTAGTTAAGGAAACAACGTGGAACACGCGGAAGAAGGGAAGAAGGGAAGAAGGGAAGGAGGGAATAAGGTGGGCCGGCGGAAGCCATGGAACAATGGAGAGGGTCAAACGTAAGACGGTGACCACTGGATTTCTTTGAACGGTGCCGCAACCATCACTTCCGGCAGGAAGAGAGAAGATGGGTTGGGTAGGAGTAGAGAGATCATGCAAGGCATCAGGGTGATACCAGCCGATAAACCTTGGATGCCTACGCTAGCTAACCAAGTATGGAGGCTTAATGGTTGAGCGAACATTCATTCTCTTAAGAGCAATGTATTAAAAGGCGGAGGTGTGGGCGAGGCGTTCTATAGATAGCCCCCACCTAGGCTTAAGGAGTGAGGCGAAACCTCACGGAACTTAAATTTTTGTATATAAAATATTATACTTTGTAAAACAATTAATCAACAATAAAACAAGCAACCAAGACCAAATTGAGATTAGAATACTAAAAAACTTACTTGAATTTTAAAACAAATGTGGTGTTAGTGGAGAAATTTTGAAAGAAATTGAAGTATAAGATTGGGGTAAAATTGAAGGGGGTGTATTCAATTGGAATTTTGAGAGAGTTTTAGGGAATAAATAATTCTAGGGATATTCAATTAGGAATTTAAAAGACTTCATAAAAGTTTTAAGTGTATTCAATTGAGATTTACAGAGACTTTAAAAATTCCTACAAATTGTGTATTCAATTGTGATTTTTTTGAAGTCTTTAAAAATTTAAGTGTATTGGTGGATTTTAGAGGATTTCAAGGTGAGACCTATAAATACCAAACAGCCTGGGAAATCTCATCTCACCCCTAGAAATTTTGAGCGACTTTGTGTGCTGCTCTCCTCTCCAGAGAAGGGCGCCTTCTACTCCAAAAACAAAGTAGCTTGAAGGTAAAACTTTTCAACTTGTACATGTTTTCTTCGGATTTTTCTTGTTTGGATACTGTAATCTTGTTCTAGGGTTAGGGTTTTCTAGTCTAGGGTTTATCTGGATTTGAAACCCCATTGCTGAATATGTGTGTGGGTTTATGGTTTGGTGTTTTGTTGAATATTTTTTGCTTTTGATTGTCAAAAAGATCAATTGGGGTTCATAGAAATTTTGAATTTTGAATGGAAACTAGCTGTTGGATATCGAATTGGCGTCAAAAAGGTTTTTCGTCTTTACAAATTCACGATCATTACTTTAGTCTAAAGAAAGCATTGTAATTGGCACTGTTCTTGATTGTTCATCCTGAATTTCAGTTTATTTACATAATTGCCACTCGGATGCTTTTAACCCACTTTCACTTAATTTACAAAGTTGCCATTGAGGCTTAAAAACCTTCTTTTAGCCGTTCCCTGCATTTCATGTTTGACTCGGCAAGAGGGAGGGGAGGGGGACATCACGCCTGACAAATTGGAGAGAGACAATTGCTCCCGTTTTTGACTCGGAGACAGCTGGGTGTGCCTCTGGCGAGCGTGAGAGAGGGGGACAGAGCGACCACAGAGGAGGGAGACACAGGGCCTGACAGATTGGAGAGAGATGGGAGCCTACGGGTTTGGACTGAGCGAGAGAGAGATTTAGGTAGGTGCTCTGTCAGGATCTATGGGATTTTCTCCCATTTTAGAGAGAGAGATGGGCAGGGAGAGAGATACAGAGCGGAAAGCATGGGTGTGTGTATTCTTTAGGGTTAACAGGTTACGCATAGAGGCGGTGAGGAGAGGATGGGTGAGGGACGAATGGCAGGGTTTGTGTTTTCAATTTTCTCCATTGATTGAAAAGGTAATTCACCACTTTTTTTTTTTTTTTTAATTATTTAGTGTCTAATTGCCATTTTCTTTGTAAAAAAATTCATTTATATTTTGTTCTTTCATTCAAATAGTAATAGATGTTTATAAATTGTTGAGTTGGGTGCTAGGATTATGTCTCTATTTTTGTGAATTAGGGTCTTCCACTGCTTTAATTTGTTTGTTTCTTGATTACTTTTTGTCTCATTGATCCTTTTTCTGTTTTAGAAATGTTACAAATTTTTTGTTCTTTAATTAAAATTGTCATAGATCTTTGTAGATTGTTTAGCTCACCTTAGGGTTAACTCTTTTTCGGTTTATTGTTTTTAATTGTTGTTTACTGTTTGATTAGCCATTCCATTTATTAAAATTGTCATAGATATTTTTTCTATCATTAATGCTATCATAGATATTTTATATTGTTTACGTAGCTATTAGGGTTCGCTCTTAGTCTTTGTGAATTAAGGGATTACACTGTCTTCATATTTGTGTTTTTCAGATTTTTTTTTTCCCCTTTGCTTATAGGTAAACAAAATTCAAACTCCTTTTTAAGTTTATTGTTTTTAAATTTGGGAGTTTAGATTGTTTAGTTCACTGTTACAGTCAGATTTCTGTCTTTATAAATAAAGGGGTTGCACTGTGCTCATTGTGTGTTTCTTCATACTTTCCCACTAATTGCTTCTCACCAAATCACCTTCAGGTTCTTTTTCCATTTCACATCATTCGTATATCTCTATGTTGCAAGGTTGTTTTTCCATTTCTTGGTTGCTTTTGTATTTGTGTGATGCACTTTTTAATTTTATTTTTCATATGCATGTAGATCCAACACAAGCATAGAGATCAAACCATTCATTCACACAACAGCCACCAAATGAACCATTACTAAGGTATTTGTCTATCCATTTTAAAGTTTTGTTAATTGTACGAACTAAATTATAATGCAAATCTCTATACTGTGTTTGAAACTTTCTAACAACCAATGGACAACTTTGTGGGGATTTCAAGGTCTTTCTGGGAGGTGAATGTTTTGGAAGGTAATAATTTGTGTGTGTGTGTTTATATATTCTCATTGCCATGTAATATTTTGTGTTTAATACTTTTGGTTCTCCTTTATTTTTTAGTTGATTCTTACCCACTATCACTCTGCCTCAGATGTAAAATGCCTAAAATCAGGTCAAAACTTATTAAAACTCACATATATCACTATCTTTTTTTGCTGTGTTAATACCAATCTGTGAACATTTAACAAATACCTTACTCGCTGCCTGTTTTGATTGCTGTTCACTTTTTGCACCAGTGCATACCTAAAGTACCATAAAGATTAAAATTTGAATATCTTAACCAAAGGCATCCAAGGTATGATGGGTGCATAACTCAAGATTTAAAATCATAAATAAGGGAGATCAGGGAAAGCAGAGGGTGTATATCAAGTTGAAAAGGGTTGACAAAATAGAATGCAGTAGTTACCAAGGTTGTGGCATGAGTAAACTTAAAGCCAAATTTATTACCATAGAAGTTTAGTAAATAAACATGCTCATAAAAGGATCAGTCCATTACCAAATATATATCTTAAGCATCAAAATTTAGGAAGACTGATGCCTGCTTTTTAGCTCTTGAAGTATTGACTTCAGGTGGTTCCACCTTTAGGGCTTGGGTTAGCAATGAAATAGATGAATAATTGCTTGAGTAATTACAAGAGATAATGTTAGTGGTTAAGACGGGTTAACATGCAAAAGCTTCCAGTCTTTACAAACGTGAGATTTTTCAGTAGGTGTGTTTTGTAATTCATCATATTTGTAAATTTCCTTTTTTTTTTTTTTTTTTTTTTTTTTTTGGGCCTGTCTTTGGTCGTTTAGCTAAAATTTCTTTAGATTTGCTCTTCAAATTTGAAAGTGTCTAAGTTGCTAACTGATCTACATTGTTTGCAGATTTTATAAATTTCGATCATTTAAGGAAGAAGTTGGTTCCATGCTGTTTTGAGGTATATAATTATACGCCATCATTTTTGTTCAAAGCCTATTTAGCTATCTACCTTTTTTAATTTATATTTGTGAAGCTTTGATGCTTATATTTTAAATATATAAATCAATTTTTGTCATTTGAGCTTATATTGGAAATGAGTTTCTTTCTATTTAGTGTGCGTATCTGTATTGTTCATTAATGTCAAGGCTGAGATAACTAAGCATCCATTGAAGTTTAACGAATGTTATATATACATATAAGATCTGAAATGGATGGAATTGTTTTCTTATTTATTAACCGCCGTATATATATGTATGTATAATCCAATAAACTTGCTGATATCTTTGGAAATATGTACGTACCAACCGTCGGAGCATGTATATACCGGTATCCAAGTTGAGCACAACAATGACACCCCATTCTATTCAATCTCAGTTATTGATACAGCGTTTGATGATCTAATTCACCTATTTTCTCTGTTGTGATTTTGTCTCCATGACCCTCGCACTCACGTGCACTTGCACACAGTTTGCAAGTCATGTCTCAACCTTAGTTTCTCTTCCCTTAATAGCTTAGTTTGAACTAAGGCATCAGTAAAGTCATTACCTGTGGCTCTCTGATGCTGCAGCACTCATTTGCTTTTATATATTTATATTTATTTTGCTGTATTTTCAAATTTTGTTTTTTGTTTTTTTGGCCTTTTTCCCATCTCAGATGTGTGTTGTCGTGCCTGTTTAGGTGGTTATACGTCTGTTTCTTTTTAACAAGGTTCATATTTGTTTCTCCTTATCCTCTTCTCTGTGTGTTTGTACAGGGAGATAATTTTCTTTAAAAACAGGACAAATTTTTCCTCTTCTCTGTTTTTGTAGAGCCTTAAATGACATACGCTATTTCTTTGTGCATGATCAATGACCGGCAACGGAATATTATATGCATGTACTATGTTTTCACGCGAATGTTGTCCTTTTTTGTTACTGCACAGAAGAAGAAAAAACAATGCATTGGGTGCATCTGTTTTTTATCATTTATTTCTGAAAAAGCCAATATATGCAGCAACACTGCTAAGATACGGCAGTTTTGTTTTCAAATTGCAATTTCAGTTGGTTTCTGTAAAGATTCTGATGGTTTTCTCTTTTTAAATTTGTTCCTGTTAGATTAATGTTTTTCAATTTAAATTTTACTCCTTTCCAACTTAGGCTGCTTCACTGAAGGTTGCTAAAAATAAAATGATTCATCGTATATACATGTTGTGTGCCCCACGGTAATGCACTGTTTTCAGTTGGTGTGTCCTTTGACTCAAATTTAGAAAGATGGTTAAACATTTTTGGTTACTCCCGTGCTGTTATTTTCATTGTGGCTCTGTTCAACCATTACATTTCATACATTTGAAATCTGTTTAGTATCTCATTAATTGGTGTACATTAACCCATTTAACTCAAATTTAATGAGATTTGGTCCTCCAATTTGTCAGATACGGATTTACTTTCTTTGGAAATTTCAGGAACCCTGATTCTGGGAGGAAGAATACGCTTTATTGCCATCTTTAGGTATACAATTCTGCACACTGAGTACATGCGCAAGGCCTAATTAATTGTACACCAATTTTGTATTACCTTTGTAAAGCTTTTGTACTTAGATTTTAAATATGTAATTAGTTTATGAAGAATAAACGAGAAAATTAATCATGGGGACATACTTCTTTTTCGATTTTCTCCTCTGCATTCTCTTGAATGAAATTGGATTCATAGATGTAGGGATACAGAAACAACTGAGGTGTGAATAAAAGGTCTGGGCGTAAGGATTTCAGGGTTTAGAATTGATTCGAAAATACGAGAAACTGCTGCATTCTCTGTTCTTTTTTACTGTTTGTTGTGGTCATTCCAACTTAGTATATACCCATTTTTATAGAACCATGAATGGTGGTTGTTAAATGTCCATTTCACAATCCTTACTTCTGCATTCCTTGATTTTTTTGCTGTTTCAAGTTTGAACACCCTGTCATGTTCTTTTCTGATGGTTTATAATTGTATATTTGCAAAGATGCATGGCTATTAGACCTTCAATTAGCGATCATCATGATTGCATTGTCATAAGACTGAAGCTATACAATTACTATTTGCTTAATATTAGTTCTGTCATTTAATTGAGGTTCATCTAGAAAAGGACTCAGGCATGAGTGTGAAGTTTAATCATTGAGTTTCCTCCATTTTCCCAGTTTGTTGGTTTCTAATTTCTCTTTGGAATCAATTGAACCTCTTCAGTGTGGTGTGGTGTGAGTAGATAACATTGTAATTGGTATTGTTTAAAGAATCCACAAAATGCTGTCTGTTTATCTCCTCTCAGTTTAATCTTCTTCTTCTGGATGAAGAGAATGAATTGGCAGAAAAAAATTTTGATTTTGTGTATTGGGTTCAATCCTTTTCCTCAAATGAATGCTTCTTCATTTATTAGAGTTGCAATAATCTTCCCATACATGTTGTAATACCCCCATAAGCTTGCCAAAGGTAATGACTGGGTGCTGATTTCAGGTTCATGTACAAGGTAAAGTTCCATAAGGAGATGCAAGCAGAAGAAGTATTGGCATCACCCTTTAGTTTTTCAACCAAAAGAAGGTAACCTTTATAAATGATTTATACAAGCTTCTCTGTTTTGTATCTCTAAAATTTGAGTTCTTTCACTAAAAATGTGAATAGTGCTTGGTAAATATTTCACATTTTTTTTTCATGGGCCATTTATGTTCTATTTGGGTTGTATTTTTAGTCATGTAATATAAATTGCATACAAAAGGCTAAAGAAGTAAATCCAGTATACAAGCTCTCACGGTAAAGTTGAAGTTGAAACTACACTATGGAATATTAAATATTTAGTCTAAATTTGAAGACTGAAAAATAAAATAACTTAGAAGCTAAACTGAGTAGAGTTAACTTTTCAGCCTTAAATAACCTTAGGTGGACACAAAATTTAGACCCCAACAACGTCGATAAACATGCTATCAGACGACTGATTCCAAAACACATTTTGACAGCTTTATCCGGCTGATAATGCAGAACATTATCAAGTATAAATTACTGGTCGTCAGTTAAACCCTTCTGAGATTTACCCTTTGTTTGCTGCACTTTCACCAATTTAATCCTTTCCTCCATCACAGGTTTTTTTTTTTTACTTTTACAGTTTCCGCAATGCATTTTGGATCTTAATACTATCTGCTCTGTTGCTTGCAGTTATCAATTTTTAAAACTTGAAAAAACATTATAGTTGTAAGGAAAATTTGTGAAGACCAAGGATGTAACCATCTTCGGTTTCACATTGTTCGCCGTTAGATTTCCTAATATAAGTATATTTGACGTGATCTTACTGGTCAATTGTTAAACGGTACAAAGAGAGAAAACAACATGCAATTTTATAAACTAAACTTCACATGCATTCTCTTTAGTATGGGGTATCCGAGAAAATAGGTTTAAGGATTAGGTTTGGTTGGATTTCAACCATTACATTTCATAGATTTGAAACCTGTTTACCATCTCATTTAATTGGTGTACGTTAACTCATTTAACTCAAATTTAATGAGATTTGGTCCTCCAATTTCTCAGATTTCCTAATGGACTTCCTTTCTTTGCAAATTTCAGGAACCCTAATTTTAGGAGGAAGAATACGCTTCATTGCCTTCTTTAGGTATACAATTCTGCACACTAATTACATGTTCAAAGCCTAATTAGTTATACACCATTTTTTTATTACCTTTGCAAAGCTTTTGTACTTAGATTTTACATATGTGATTAGTTTGCAACCGTTGCCTTGTTGCTTTGGTAAAGTCTCAACTTCTTTATAATATTAATTAATTTTCACTGTAATGTTAGGGTATTGAGTTGAATGCATATGTTACATAGAACATGTGAGTGGACGTAGCAGCATACTTAATATGATATTGCATTTGCAAATGAAAATGATTTTAGACATGTTAATGAAACAGTGAATTCAGAGAAGATCAAGGCTAGGTTTATAGAAACTGGAAACTTCCTCTGTAAGCTTTCCAATTGTATTTCTGAATTAATTAGTTTGTACACTGTGAAGACATATATATAGCCTTTGGCTATTTACAAAGATACCCCTTAACTACCTACCTTATAACAGTTCTAACTAATCACAAACATTAGCACAGCTAAGTACATTTAGAGATAACAGACTATTTTACAGTAACTGAAATGGGTGACTTGTCATTTTCCCTAATACACCCCCTCAAGCTAGAAGGGGAATCAGAACAGATTCCAATGGGTAGCTTGGAGCATAGGAACTGAAATCGACTTTTGGATAATGACTTGGTGTGAAGATCAGCTACTTGGTCTGCACTGCAAACATACTGAACTTTGAGAAGATTAGCTAGAACCAATTCTCGAATATAGTGGTAATCAATCTCAACATGCTTTGTACGAGCATGAAAAACAGGATTAGAAGCTAGGGAGATGGCTGAGATGTTGTCACACCAAAGTGTAGGCAGTGTAGGGATAGGGAAGTGAAGATCTCTGAGGATTTTGCAAACCCAAGTAAGTTCAGCAGCTGTATGAGCTAAGGAGCGATATTCAGCCTCTGTAGATGACCGTGCAACAGTACTTTGTTTCTTAGCACTCCAGCTAATGAGATTGGAGCCTAAGAACACACAATAGCCACTGGTAGATCTTCGATCAAAAGTGCAAGCCAGCCCAATCAGCATCAGAGTATGCGGAAAGATGGGTGGAACCCTTGGTGAACCATAAACCATGGGAAAGAGAGCCTTTAAGAAATCGAAGAACTCGTTTAGCTGCCTGAAGATGTTGTTCCCTGGGAGCATGCATGAATTGGCAGATCTGGTTGACAGCAAAAGCGAGATCCGGTCTAGTCCAAGTAAGGTATTGTAATCCCCCAACAATAGAACGATATTCAGTGGGGTTGGACAAGAGAGGCCCACTGTTATCTAATTTTGTGGAACTAAGGGGTGTGCAGCACGGTTTGGCACCCTCCATGTGTGTTTTCTGAAGAAGATCAATTAAGTACTTTGATTGATGAACAAAAATACCATGGGAGGATCTGTGTACTTCTAAGCCCAAGAAGTAGTGTAAAGGACCAAGATCCTTTACTGGAAACTGAGAACTGAGTTGGGTGATAAACTGTTGACAGATTTGAGAGTGAGGACCGGTGACTAGGATGTCATCAACATACACAAGAACAATAACCAAATGAGGACCAGGAAGAACAAACAATGAGGCATCAGATGAAGATTGTTGAAACCCAAGAGAATGAAGAGCTTGAAAAAGTTTATCAAACCAAGCTCGAGGAGCTTGTTTTAGTCCATATAGAGATTTCTGCAACTTACAAACTGAAGTAGGAGAATTGGGATCAACAAACCCAGGAGGTTGTTGCATGTAGACATCCTCCTTTAAGTCACCATGAAGAAAGGCATTGCTTATATCCAATTGATTGAGAAACCAGTTATGTTGGACAGCAAGACTGAGTAAGATCCGAATGGTAACGGGCTTGGCAACTGGACTAAAGGTCTCTTGGAAGTCAATACCTTCTTGTTGATGAAAACCCTTGGCTACTAGTCTGGCCTTAAATCTGTCAATGGTGCCATCAGCCTTTTTCTTAACTCGAAACACCCATTTACATCCAACTATATTTTGGGAAGGATGAGAGGGGACAAGGGACCAAGTACCAGTAGAGATCAATGCATTATACTCATCTTGCATTGCAGCTCGCCAATGAGCATGCTTAGAAGCTTGCAGGTATGTACTAGGAACATAATCAGTGTCAACAGGAAGAGGATGCTTAGTTGCTGCATAGGCATGAGGGAGAGATTTATAAATGCCAGCCTTGGATCGTGTGATCATTGGATGAGAATTAAGAGGAAGGAGAGAAGGATTGGACTGACTTAAGGGTAAGGTGGAGGATTCAGAAACAGAGTCAGAACTGGAAGCAGCAGGGACTGAAATGGGTTGAGAAGAAGAAGGATGGGGAGAAGCAGAGGCAGAAGGAGAAACAGGTGAAGAAGATGGGGCACGGCTAGGAGAGAGATGGGGAATATATTTCTCAAAATAAAGATCCAAAGAGGAAGAGCTTGCTGGTGAGGATGGGGTGAGACAGAAACAGGGAGGCTGCAGGGATTGAAATGGATAAGAACTTTCATCAAAGACAACATGTCTGGAGATGTAAATTCGAGTGGTGAGGGGATCAAGGCATCGATAGCCTTTGTGTTGAAGGCTATATCCAAGAAAAATACAACTTTTGCTCTTGGCATCTAATTTGCTGTGAACATATGGTTGGAGCCAAGGAAAGCATTGGCAACCAAACACTTTAAGTTTAGAGTAATCTGGGGGTTGCTTGAATAATAATTCCCATGGTGATGAGGAAATACCAGATATGGGAAGCCGATTAATAAGATAGATGGCAGTGGAGAAGGCTTCAACCCAAAATACATGAGGAACATTAGAAGCAACTAGCAAAGTACGAGCTGTCTCAACAAGATGCCTGTGCTTTCTCTCAGCACAACTATTCTGTTCAGGAGTATGTGGACAGCTAAATTGGTGAAAAATGCCATGTGTACTGAGAAAGGAAGCAAAAGCAGTACTGATGAATTCACCCCCTGAATCTGAGCGCAAAACTTTGATTTTATTTCCAAGTAAATTTTCTACATAAGATTTGAAGACAACAAATGTAGAAAAAACATCTGACTTGGACTTCAAAGGAAAAAACCAGCTATATTTGCTAAAGTCATCAACAATGAGCAAATAGTACTTGAAACCACTGTTTGAGATAACAGGTGCTGGACCCCACAGATCACAGTGTAGAAGTTGAAGACTGTGAGTTGTTGTGGAAGAAGAAATTCCAAAAGGAAGCTTATGATTCTTGGCAAGAGCACAATCTGAGCAGAAGAAATCAGTAGTAGACTTGCCTTGTAAGGACAGTTTATTAGTAGAAAGTACCCTTCTGAAAATAGAGGAGGATGGATGACCCAAGCGTCGGTGCCAAACCTTGACAGGAGCCTTGACACTGAGCAGAGCTGAGGGAGAAGAAATTGAAGAAGAGCTGGAACCTTGAAGAGGGTAGAATCCATCTCTAACGGGTCCCCGCAAAAGCATCTTCCCCGAAATACGATCCTTAACAGTGGATCCATAAGGGTCAAGGGTCAATGAACAGTTATTATCTTTGAGAAACTGATAAGCAGACAAGAGATTATGTTTCATGTAGGGAACATGTAAAACATTCTGCAGCTTAAAGGAAGTATGAGGAGTATGCAAAGCAGATGAACCAATATGATGAATAGAAAGACCTTTACCATCACCAATATACACTTTATCTTCACCAGTATAGGGAGTGGGAGAAGAGATGTTGGCAACATCATTAGTAATGTGAGAAGTCGCACCCGAGTCAATCAACCAAGGCTGAGCTGGTTTGGCAGATTGGTTGACATACATAGCAGCGAGTTTAGCTGGAGGAATCCGACCACAGATGTCAGGATTCATTCGATCAAAACAATCAAGAGCCTCATGACTGTTAGAACCACAGATTTGACATGGAACTTTGAAATGGGAAGAGCCTTGAGGATGACGAGAGCCTTGAAAATTACGATTTCCACGAGTGTTGGAGTAATTGCCACGGTTCATTTGGAAATTGCGATTGCCTCTGTGAGAGAAGGAATGGCCTCTGTTATGTTTGCCACGATTTGCAGATTTTGATTGTTGCCAGGATGAAGATTGGTGCTGAGCAGCGAACACAGAAGGAGTAGGTAGCAGAGGAGGCTGAGAGTGCACCGAGAAGGCTTGAAAAGGTTCAGCAGCAGAGGATGAACTGATATTTTTGCGTCGAGCCATGGACAGTTCTTTAGTGAGAAGAAGACCATGGAGTTCATCAAGAGAAGTAGAGGACAATCGAAGCATGATTGAGTCAATGAATGACTCAAAATCATCAGGCAAGCCATGAAGTGTGGCTGCAATTAGGTCGCGATCAGAAACGGAGGCACCAGCAGCTTGCAAGGAGTCTGAGATTTCCTTAATTTCTTGAAGATACTCAGAGATGGAGCGAGAACCTTTCTGAACAGATTGGAGACGCGACCGTAATTGATGAATATGAGCCTCTGAAATTCCACCAAATCTCTGTTCAAGCTTCAACCAGAGTTCGCGAGACGAAGAAACACCCACCGTGAAGGGGATGATTTCCTCAGAAAGTGTGGAATTGAACCAGATCAAGAGATTTTGATCTTTTTCGTACCATTCCTCAAAGGCAGGATTAATGTTGCGATCAGGTAGGAAAGGTGATGGACAAACATCAGTACCATCAATGATTCCAAGAAGCTTGTAACGCCGTAGAATTGGGCCAAACAGCGCATGCCATGGCAGATAGTTCGATCGTTTCAGCTTGATCGGCACCATGCTGCCGATGTTATGGATCGTAAGGGAGGTGTAGGAACTCAGAGGACTTGGATTTCCAGAGAAATTAGGGTTTTGAACCGACGGAGAAGACGATTCAGGTGGTGGCGAAGATGAGTGCGCCGCCATAGCTTGCAAAGACGTTGATGCAAGAGAGATCGGAGAAGAGAAACTGAAGAATCAGAGGAGAAGAACAGAAAGATCGATCAAGAATCGATCGATCGATCGAGTCGAGGGAGCGGAAGGATCGATGCTGTGAAGCAGAAATGGCGTGATACCATCTAGAAACTGGAAACTTCCTCTGTAAGCTTTCCAATTGTATTTCTGAATTAATTAGTTTGTACACTGTGAAGACATATATATAGCCTTTGGCTATTTACAAAGATACCCCTTAACTACCTACCTTATAACAGTTCTAACTAATCACAAACATTAGCACAGCTAAGTACATTTAGAGATAACAGACTATTTTACAGTAACTGAAATGGGTGACTTGTCATTTTCCCTAATAAGGTTTGAGATAAGTAAAACCTTGAGGCTAGAGTTTGCTCGAATATTATCTTAAGCATCTCAAGTGAATGCTTCACTAGAATCACTACACACACACTCACCAGTCGTCACATACTTTGGGTTGTACCTGTAAGAGGAGTAATATTCCCCATCTTGATCATAAAATTAGCAACATCAGCAAAGAACAAATTAAGATTTGTGTTATAGCTTTGGATCAAACTGATTTTTTGAGTTGTTTAAGTGGTTTTTCCCAATTGTTACAATTAGCTAATGCATTACCATGTAATCTGTGTTGGCGGGTGAAACTTTCGTTGGTTTGAAATATTTGTTCAAGTTTTCATTTAGTTTATATTATTTTAACTCCATTTCTCCTAAGGGATTTATACAGGTATAAAATAAGAAACTATTATCGTTTTTCTGGTTGCAAAATATATAGTTGCAGTGGTTAGTTGTGATGTAGAAATGAGGCTTTTTGAAATTTGATTTCCGGTCTCATTCTGTTACGATGGATATTTCGAGATTTTAGAAGGTGGGTGTGGTTTAGGGTTAGAGTTTGCAATTCTGTGCAAATTCATTGAAGTTGTTGCTTATGCAGATGGTGGTGTGTGTATACAAATGATATGCATCTATTCTTTTGCTTATATTTAAATCACATTTGAATCAAGACTTTCATATATCACCTGAACTTAAATATGGTATTTTCCCATTCTTTTTCCGTTTCAGACAGCTTATCTTTATGATTTTGTTTTTTATTAACTGTTTGGTTTGATCACTTTATGTTATTCGTTTGCTGTTTGCTTTGCTCTCATTCTTGGTTGTCTTTGTGATCCTCTCATTGTCCAGAGGTTGAATGGTTTGTTTGTTTTTTATTTATTTATTTTTAATTTTGTTTGTACAATTCAATCTGTGATTCTGTTATTGGTTGGTTGGTATTTTCGTTAGGTTTTCTAATAGTGAACTATCTCATTCCTAAATTTCTTTAACATGTGTTGTTCACAACTGCGCTCTCTCAACGAACTAGACATTTTTTTTTTGAAAAAATCACAACTTCTGTACTTAGGAAAATGAGTGACCTTTTAACAATGCATGAATGCAGCTAAGATGTTCAGAAAAATTTATGGATGTTAACATTCAAACTACAAGTATCATTAACTCATAAATACTTAAGTTATGTATTTTCTTTATCGGCTAAAACTTCAAAATTACTTTAGTCTAAAGAAAGCATTGCAATTGGCACTGTTCTTGACTGTTCATTGTACTTAAATTTCAGTTTGTTTACAAGATAGCCACTCAGATGCTTTTAACCCACTTTCACTTAATTTACAAAGTTGCCACTGACGCTTAAAAACCTTCTTTCAGCCGTTGGCTGCATTTCATGTTTGACTCCGCAAGAGAGAGGGGAGGGGGACATCAGGCCTGACAAATTGGAGGGAGACAATCACTCCCATTTTTGACTCGGAGACAGCTGGGTGTGCCTCTGGCGAGCGGAGAGAGGGGAACAGAGCGATCACAGAGGAAGGAGACACAGGGCCTGACAGATTGGAGAGAGATGGGAGCTACGGGTTTGGACTGAGTGAGAGAGATTTAGGTAGATGCTCTGTCAGGATCTATGAGATTTTCTCCCATTTTAGAGAGAGAGATGGGCAGGGAGAGAGATACAGAGCGGAAAGCATGGGTATGTGTATTCTTTAGGGTTAACGGGTTACGCATAGTGGTCGGAGAACCGACGCCGTCCACGCTTTAACTAACGGTACTCCGATCTCTCTCTCTTTCTCTCTCTCTCTCTCTCTCTCTCTCCTCCGTTTCTCTCTCTTAATTTCCTTTTGGTTTTGGAAATCTCTGACCTTTTGGGTGATGTTGTTTTCTCATGTGGATAGAGAGAGAGGTCGAGCAAGGTTTCGTCCATTTCGGTCAACTTGGGCTACCCCCAGCGTCCGGTAAGGTATCAATCTCTTCCTGGTTTTTGCTTTGATTTTTTTTTTTTTTTAATGGAAGGTATGAGATTTCTTTAATCATACAATCAACTTGCCCTTAATTATTCTTTCACTATATTTGACTGTTGTAGTCCTCTTTTAGCTACTTAAATGATACAATAAAAATCCCAGTAAAAATTTTCTCACTTTGTAATTTCCCTCAGATCCCTCGCCAATCCCTTCTCTGGTCTATGTCGTCTTACTCCACCGTTTGCATCAGGAATGCCCATGCGTGGTTTTTTGGGTGGGGATTTCAGATTTCAAGGGGGAGAGATGCTGTGCTTCATTTCAATCGGGCCGAGCCTCTATCTGCAAATCGAGGCCCTGGTGAAGCATAAGCATTACAGGCCTGCAGTAAGTTCTAGGTCACCTCCTCCGTCTCCGATAAGCTCTCCTATATACATCAGTATTAAAAGAACAATTTCCAATATTTAATTTCACCATTTTCTCACACTTCCCGTTGATTGTCCCTCGAATTTGCAGGGAAAGAAGAAGGAAGGAAATGTCGCAAAGTACGTCACCAGGTGAGAAGCTGTCAAGCAGCTTCAAGTCAGTCTTCCCCTCTTCAGGTCTGTCTCTGGTATTCAAGTTGTAATTTCTGTATTTTCACATGATTTATGTAATTTATGTTAATCTAGGGTTTAGGGTTTGTGCATTATTCGGATTTATCGGTTGAATTATTGTATGATTACTTAATACATGTGCTTGCTGTTGGAAATTATAGGAAATTGTGTATTCTAAAGGGCGTGTTCCCTCGGGAGTTGAACAAAAAGGTGAAAGGAAATCACCATACCTATTATCACTTGAAGGATGTTTCTTTCATTCAGCATGAACGAGCTGTTGTTTCTCTCAACTCGAGCAGTTGAGAGAGATAAAAGCATACGAAAGAAAAGTAAAGAAGGCCAATGCGAAGAAGAACAAGGAATGAGCTGCTCTCCTGAAAGAGAGAATACCCACTTACAAATTAGATAGAATTATTTTGCAGAGGTTTGTTGGGTTTTTCGTACTGTTAAAAAATTAGTTGCGTGTCTGTTATTGTATGTAGAGCCTCTAACAGTTGTTTGGTATGTTTGGAACTGCAGATATCCAAAATTCGTTGACGCACTCAGAGATATAGACGATTGCCTCACAATGGTTCACCTCTTTGCGGCATTACCTGCTATTGAGGACAGAATTGATGTCAAACGCATTCATAACTGTCGAAGGTAGATATTTGAATTTTTCTAAATAAAAGGAGTTCTGAAGTATGAAATGATGCTTAGTTACTTCTAGGAGTTAATGGTTTTGTGGAATCTTCCCTTAATATTGGTGTTGCTTTCGTACCAGGTTGAGTCATGAATGGCAAGCTTACATATTTCGGACTCATAAATTGTGTAAAGTCTTTGTATCTGTTAAAGGCATATATTATCAGGTTTGGTTATGTACTGTACACTGCTTATCAAATCTTCAATGTGCATTTTATGTTCTTGTGTTATTTGGGTATTAATTCTTCCGTTGTTTGTCCATGCAGGCAGAGGTTAAGGGGCAAAAGGTCACATGGTTGACCCTCACCCTTTGCAGCAAGTTTTGACTGATGATATTGATTATATTTCGTACTTTGTATTTCTTTTTGTCCGTTATCAACCTTTGTTCGATTCTGGAGTGGGAGTTTGATAAAGAATGTGACTTTGAGATGACAGAGTTTTTGAAATTGTGTTGTGGCCATGTGTGAAACTGAATGATGCAACCTTTGATCTCTCCCATCTGAATGAAGCTAAAGTTTTGTATTAAAATGTAATAATATTCAAATGTATACTAAGTTTCTCGGTAGCCAAAACAAACCCTTTACATGATTTTGTCTAGAATTCATTTAAAGATTTAAAATTTCTCTTCACTCTGTTGATGGGTTTGATTTTTCCCCGCCTGTTTTGCAATTTGAGTCTATTGAGTTCTGCGGATTCACTCAATTGCAATCATCTTTACCTTCATTGTTATTCGCATATGAATGTTAGGTTTTATTTGGATGTATTAATACTTGGAATGTGCTTGATCATATTGCCAATGTTTGCTTTTTTTTTTTACAGCACTTGCACCATGAAGTCAATGAAATTGGGTTCCATTTTTCCAGTTTATAAAATTCCATATCGACGTAGAGGTATGAATCATGATAATTTTATGTGTGCAATGATCAATTAGCGATGATACATCAATCTTTTGTGTTTCAGTTTCTTTTGTGTTTTTGTAACTGATCCTGGGATGTTTGTTGCAGGCACTGGGAAGATGACTCTGTCTACGGATCATAATCGGTATCTAATTGGAGATGATGAGCACTGCTGGGGCAACAATGGTGTGTCAAACATTGAAGGTGGTTGCTATGCCAAGTGCATTGATTTGTCAAAGGACTCAAATTTGGGACTGGTAGTTAACATCATGATTTAGTTGAACATTCTACTTTAAAAATGACAGTTAGCGTGAAACGTTTATGTTCTGTGTCATGATTGGAGCGATATTTCAAAATCTTATCAAACATGGTTGCATGTGTTTGGCAGTTTTGGAGAATGTTGTATTCGATGACCATAATCGAGAAGTTGATTACTCAGAGAAATCTGTTACTGGTAAGTAATTTAAATTCTGGGGTTATTCAATTGAAAGTTTTAATTTATAGTTTAGTTTAGTTTTTAATTTATTTATAATTTTGGTATTTTGTTTGTGTTTGATTATATTGAATTCGGATTTCAGTGAACTTATGTTTGGGTTTGATATTTTCCTACAGGTCGTGATTGAGGGAGCTTGAATGACAATTGGATTTCATTGTCGTTGGTAAGGAAGACCTTCTCCCTCTCTCATTTCCATGCTAATCATTCCAATTTTCATTTTTGTGTTGAATTCTAAATTTTAGAATCAGGGTTTAGATTAGACCCATGTGTTACGCATTTGACATTTTGAGTACAGTTAGTATTTCATGTTTTCCCTCTTTTTTTTTTTTTTAGAGATAATCAATTGTTATTAAGCTGTTTTGGTAGTGATTAGAACTTCCTTTAGAAATAATGAATCAAGTGATAGAGAGATAAGCTAATCGAAACAGTTCAAATATGAAGGAAAAAAGGTTTTGCTTTTTTAAGGTTTCAATTTTTTTGAAGTTTGGAGGCTTATGTCAATCTATGACAATTGTTTGAATGGTTGTATCTAAGTATGCATTATACATTCAATTGATGCATGTGTGCCAACGAATTTTGAAGAGTTCGGCTTGGTTTTCTCTCTTTGGTCTTTAACATGAAAGGTGAGGCACCTGTTCGTTGACTAATTGAGTCCCTTCTCCAAGTCTTTAGTATATATTGGGTCGCTGTAATTTGCTTTTATGAGCACATCTGTGACTAAAGAAAATTTAAGCTGTCAAGTTCCCAAAATGTCTAAGGATATATCAAGTTTAACAAGTCACGAACTGTGATCAATCGAAATGCAGTGAAATTAGGGATTTTGCACTAAAAAACTCAGTTAACTTTAGACCATAGGATTAGCATTTTGCACATGTGAGTATCATTAACCTACTCATTTTATTTTTCTGGATAAGAAACAAACTGTCATTGAATGGAGAAGACACTGTACAAAAACAAAGTTTATGTAATACGTGAGATCTTTGCTGCCATAGTTTTTACTTGCTATATATATTGGGTCATAGTGGATAGCTGGGATAACCTCACAATAAGTATGTATTCTTCTTCTATATAATCAATTCTATAGCTGTTGTTTGTTCCTGATCCATATTTGCATTCTACATGTTATCTTTGTGACCGACTTATCAAGTCACTAAGCAGCAAGCAGATGTGCTGTTTTTAATTTTAGTCAAGGGGAACAAACTAATGGTCTAAGAGATTGCCTAAATGGATCCTAGAATAGTAAAAAATGCATAAAAGTTTGAAATAAATTGAGATCCAATATTATGAGTTGATTATCAGTACTATACATAAAACAAAGGAGTTCTTCTTGATTCAAAGGTGAACCATTTCATGAAATTATGATATTCTGAACAATGAATTTGTGTTTCCAGTTAAACAAGAAGCTAAACCGTAATCAAGGGATTTGTCGACCTATTGTGGAAGGTGAGATGCCAACTTTGTTTCCCAATACTTATCTTTTATGGAAATTTTAATATTTTATATTTTGAAACTCTAAACTGATTGTCCTTCACATGTTTTATGTAAATAGTGACACATCTATTTACAAATGCTTATAATCAGTTCATCGAAATCTTGGTTATTTAAATTCTTAAGAGATGCCTATGTTGATTTGTGATTTTGTTGCCCTGTGTTTTACTTTGTTGGTTGGTAGAAGCACGTTCAATTGATTCAATTTAGTCTTTTACTTTCTATGACAAAGCAAAATCCTTTGCAGTCCTTTGGTATCAGGTTTCTTTTTTTTTTTTTTTTTTTTTTTTTAATCCGGTGCGCTACGTGCAATTACATATGTGAGAGACTTTTTAAATTAGACACACTACACGCTTCTTACGGATTTTATAACGTCAGATTCTTATTCAGTTGCTGTTTTAAATTTGGGCTTCCATTTGGTTGAGCATCCTTTTCTCCAAACGGTAACATTGTTTCTAATGCCTAATCAAATTTTGATTTCTTGGGTCATTACAATTTATGTAGTTTTATAAAGAGAAATTGTTTACAAGTGCAAACAACTACCAGATTTTATTTTGAAGTCTGAATATGCCAATAGAACCATATAATTATAATAGTTGGGACAATTACCGTAAATCTTTTTGTGATGTTTTCTAATGGATATATTATTCCATTGTTTTCAGGGGATAGACAGAAGTCCCCGGCAGCAATCTCTTTGTGATCATTGCTGGGAAAATATCATGGTCATTTTGAGTTCGGATTCAACTAGCATGTGGTAAGCATTTCTTTTCCGATTACTTTCATTTTTTTTATTTGTGAATCAATAACTTTTTTAGGAATAATGAATGTCACAATTGCTGATAAATTGATACTTTGTTCAGAGCTTGAATTGTAGATCTGTGCAAGCTATCCATATATAGATCAATGCTATGGACTCTTCTCAACCTATGGACCTCAAATTTCAGTGCGTCTTTCATCATTTATCCTACCTCACTATGTATGGAGCTATTACATTTGCAATCATATTAATTCATTGAAAACAATATTTATATTTCTTTGTAAACTGCTAATTTTGGAATATACTATCGTTTCCTTGTTGGTACATTAAAATGAAAATATGTAAAGTAGTCTGAATCTCACCCTGGGGTGTTGTAGCCCGATTCGATGCTACGAGGCACTTCGTAGCATCATGGGTTTGTTACGTTTAGTTTTGTCCTGTTCATTGTACAATGTCTTTTCATGTTAGCTCAGTTGAACGTATATAAAAATGAAGCTGCATATGTTACCGACCCCATTCACTCATCTATCCCTCTCTTCATTTATGATTGTGTTGAATTTATTCAGGTAAAATGTATCTTATCCATGCAGTTCAAGGTGATGCATTCAAGTCCCGCAGCAACGCGCGGGCATATTTTCTAGTAAATCCTATTAAAAGCACGGTGGATATCGAATTGATGTTTGCTGTTGGAAACTTCAGAAGGATTTATGATGATGTGTAATCAAAAAAAAAATTTCCTTGCGGTGTTTTTTCAAATGCACTCTTCTGTTCGTAAAAAAATTTCCCAATAAAAACAATATAGAAGGCCAAAGTTAACCGAGAATGGGTATAAGACGAAAAAAAGACAAATGAGAATTCAAAGTGGAATGCTAATATAAAGATTTTGATTAAAAAAAAAAAATTGTTCTGAAGTTCGGTGCTTTTAATTTGATGTCGAATTGGATATCGAATTGATGTTTGCAAAGTTCGGTCAAAATGTCAACGTAACTAGGGTGAGACTTGATTGGTTTGTTGTTCAATTTCTTTTTTGTTCAATTTGTCTTCTTTGCAATCCTATGCATGTAGTTCAGTCTTTATTGTTTACATTGATTCGTTGTATAAAAGATGTATGAATAATAAGATAATTATGATGTATCATCTAAGATCATAAATGGGAGATTCACAACAAGAAAAGGGAAAAGGAAATTATAATCAATGGTCCGTGGAAGAGAGCAACATGTTGTTGCAACTACTTGTTGAGGCCGTAAAAAATGGATGGCGTAATGCTAATGGCATAATAAGCAAGCAGACTATAGAAGCCAAAATTGTTCCTGTGCTTAATGAAAAATTTGGGTGTCAAAAAACTAAAGATCATGTTAAGAACTGTGTGAAAACATTGAGAGGTCGATATTAATCAATATGTCAGCTTTTTAGGCGTAATTCTGGATTTGGTTGGGACCCTATCACAAAGAAGTTTGCGGCTAATGATGAAGTGTAGAAAGGCTTCCTTAGGGTGAGTTCTTTTTCTTACCGAATATATTATTTTCCTTCAAGGTCATGTTGATAAAGTGATACTTTACCTCTCCAGGATGTTTGGTGAAGACAGAGAACCAAATGTAATTACCTACACAACATTAATGGACGGGTTGCTCAATGCTAGAAGGGTCGATGATGCTCTTGTGCTTTGGAACAATATATTTTAATGCGTATTCATGTGATGTGATTGGATCTTTTGCCTTCTGGGACAACCCAATTTTACCAATCAATTTGGCTTTTCTTGAAATAAAATAATCAGATTTCATGGGAATTCAAACAAATCTCTTGAAATTCATGAATAAACCCTCTAAAATTCTCTAAGCCCACACAAAGAATTCTCTCACAATTAATGTAAATTCTATGAAACTTTAACTCAAAATCCCTGGAAAGTGATTTTTTTTCTCTCAAATTTTCTCAAATTCTCCCAAATTCCATGAAATTAGATTCTCGGAAACTCTCTCAAAATTCCAATTAAATACAACCCTTGAAATATGGAATTCAGATTGAGAATTTAGAGTTGGCTAAATAGCCAAAATGGTCCCTGAAATTTGCATAACTCATTATTTTGGTCCCTGAGATTTCAAATCAATAGAAGTGGTCCCTGAGATTGTCCACCATCCATCATTTTGGTCATTCCGTTAAGTGTCTCGAGGCTCTTGGCCAGAAGTTTGGGCAATTTTCAAAGTTTCGTAACTCAATCGTTTCTTAACCAAATTCAACCCATAATATATCAAAATAAAGATAGGAAAGTGTAGAATAAGATTATACCTATTTGGAAGACCAATGGTTGCGGAAGATGGCCGGAAAATAGCTTCAAAGTTGACTCGTCTGAAGGAAAACTGGAAAACTTGCCGGAAACTGGGTAAGTTTAAACGTTCATAACTTCTTCAATACTCAACAAAATCAAGTGATTCAAAAACAAAAATCATACTTCTTGACAAGAAAAAGAGAATGATACCTTTTTCGATGGCTAAATTGCCATGGTTTGGCCAGAAAACGGCTCGAAAGTGGCTAACTCGAGACCAAGACAGCCACTTTTGAGCCATTTTCCGGCCAAACCACGACGCGTTAGCCATCAAAAAAGGCACCATTATCTTTGTCTCATCGATAAGTATGATTTTTGTTTTTGAATCACTTGATTACGTTGAGTATTGAAGAAGTTATGAACGTTTAAAATTTACCCAGTTTTCGGCGAGTTTTCCAGTTTTCCCTCGAACTAGTCAACTTTGAGGCTATTTTTTGGCCATCTACAGCAATCATTGGGCTTCAAAATAGGTATAATCGTATTTTACACTTTCCTATCTTCATTTTGATATATTATGGGTCGAAAATTGAGTTACCATTCGACATGGTACTTACCATTCGATTCTTGTGCAAGTTACAACTGTTGCAATTGAACATGCGGTGTGCTATCCACACACCCCTTTTTACTTCTCACACACCTCTTGTTGATTTCTGTCCCTTGATCTTCTTCAATTCATCCGATCCGATGGCCGAAAATCAAAAGGATGTGTGAGAAGTAAAAAGGGGTGTGTGAATATCACACCCCATGAACATTTATTCACTTGATTCGCGTGATGATCGAAACTATCCAGTTTTGTGGTTTTGTAATGTTTTCATCACATGATCAAGTTGTTGTTCCTTGGGTCAGAAATCAAGTTCCTATCTGATCCAACTTTCAGGAGCAACCTGTCTTTCCTCTATTTTTAGCTATATTTTTTTTTCATCACAAACAGTAAGAGCTCGTTTTTGACATTCATATCTGTTCTTCTGATACGAATGGTAGCTGTTCACATTGACGTGGAAATTGTAGTGTTCATTAATTAGGGGTTTATATCAAAGGTTGGTTTACCACAACTAAGGTACTTACAGGGACTTGGTTAAGAAAAGGTACATGCAGAGAGTGCACCAAATGTCTCTTTCCTTCAGAATAATACAAACAGCTTATCATTCATATTTCCTTCTCCCTCGATATGTAAACTTAGAATAACCGTATCTCCCTCTTCCTGATATGGGACTTCGTATCATTTGCTAGAACTTTTGAGGTGGGGTGGTGCGAAGAACTCAATTCTACTAGTTCAAGGCCTAGGTTGACATTTGAAGTCTAATCAATGTGTTCAGTGTAGCAAGTCTCTGTTCATCTCTTAATTGGCTTGTTTGAGCTAAGGGGTTTCTCTTACGCTTGCCTTTTTGAGAATTTATGATCCAACTTTCAAGTGGCTTTCTCCATCGGCATCTTCTGATTAATTTCTTTATAATCAATGTTTGTGCAGACTCGGTTCCCCCTTCTGGCCAGGTTGCACGAGGCATACAAAAAGATACCGGCATTCCTAGATGCTATACCAGAAAAGCAGCCGGATGCTCCTTCTCCATAGTTAAAAAATTGGGTTGAAGAGGTTTGAATTAACATTTATTAAGTTACTCTCTTGGTTGGAGTACAGCATTTATCTAATGTTCTGGTTAAATCTAGCATTTGACGTATATGTGAGGCACCATACGAACGAAATGCTTATTGTTGCTTTTGTGTTGATTGGTGCTTCAGGGACCCTGTTTGAAATCGTCGGTTCCATTCTTCTGAAACTTCCTTTTTAGAATCAGATGAAGCTTGTCCATCCCAAAGTGCAGCATAAAGGGTCGACAATTAAGGTCTGAGTTGAGGCATTTGAAATGTTGTATATCACTCAGGTGTTGTTCCTGTCCAAATAAGGATTATCCCATTAGAGCAAGCCCAGCGTTGGGTTTTGCTCGGGGGACAGGGGAGAAACCAAGGGCCCGAGGGCCAGGGGATCAGGTCCAGCGTTGCCCAGCCCGATGGAAGGGGGAGGCCCGAGCTCCGGGCTCGTGGGGGATTGCCAGCCCGAGAGTCCGAGGTGGGGGTGACGTAAGGCTGACGCCAGGGTGGCGTCAGCGCAATATTTAAATTTTTTTGTGTCAGGCGCGTGCACCCCACCTACGCGTGGGGGCGCGTCGCCGACGACACAAAAATCAGAAAAAAAAAATTCTGTCAGTTACCGTTGGGAAGCAACGTGGCTTCCCACGGTGCGTTAGAAATTACTTAGCCAATCGTTTAGTACGTGGAGAGACGCCTTGGCACAAGCTAGTAGTAATATTCGAAGTGGGGAAAATTACTCGGATCAGGTAACAATATATTATTTATTTGATACCCAAATTTACATTATAATTATTTGTTTGTATTATTTATTTGTTACCTACATAATTTATTATTTATTGTTTGTATTATTTATTTGTTACGTACAAAATTTATTATTTATTGTTTGTATTATTTATTTGTTACCGTCATAATTTATTATTTATTGTTTGTATTATTTATTATTTATTATTTGTATTATTTATTTGTTACCTACATAATTTATTATTTATGTTTTGTATTATTTATTTGTTACCGACTTACATTATAATTATGTTGTTTGTATTATTTATTTGTTACTTATTTTCATTATAATTATTTATTTGTATTATTTATTTGTTACTTATTTTTATTGTGTAGGAACTTCAAGCACAAGCTTGGTACGCTGCCAAAACCAAAAGCAAAAATAAATCATTCAACCGGTGGGAATGTTGGAATATTGTCAAAGATTGTCCTAAATTTAGAGTTGTGCCAGTCGGTCCAGAAGTGCACATGAACAGCACCCCTCTACACTCTACACCCGATCATGTTCATGAAGATGATGCAGAAGAAGTGCCCAAAACGCCCCTCCCTGAACAAGCGTCGGGTTCGACCCGTTTTCCAATTAGGCCTCAAGGTAAGAAGGCTTCAAAGAGAAAAGGGAGTGCTTCCAAGAAGGATTATGCAAAGTTCATGGAAGAACTTACTCGCCAAGGTGAATTGACTTTGGCGAGGGACCTGGCGAAAGATGAGGCTGATAAGGCTAGAGAGGCATCAAAAGCAGCAGCTGTTGAGAGAGAATTTTATGCTAATGAGAGAGAAAGAGAGCTACTTAGGCAAGAAAGGGAACATGTTAGAGAAGAAAGACGGGCTCAACAAGATCGTGAGATTATGAACATGTCTTTAGAAGGGAAGTCTCCAAATTCTAAATTTTTTTGGAAGTTAGAGAAAGCGGACGTGGTGCGAAGGAGGCATGCAAGAGAAACAATAGCAAGCCAAGGTGGTTCTAGCACCGCAAGAGAAGATCATCCTAACACCACAAATTGATTAAGTGATGATGAATAGAGTACTTTTTGTAATCGGAGCCCATAATTTTCCAATCACTTTGGGTTGTAATTTATTATTTATTGTTTGTATTATTTATGTTGTTTCCAATTTCTTGAATATTTATTCAAATTAATTTGGTAAGTTATTTATACTAAGAATTACCCTCTGCCTCCTTGCTTTCCTCACGACATGAAAATTATTAACAAACCCTCTGCCTCCTTGGTAAGTTATTAACAAACCCTCTACCTCCTTGTATAAAATAATTAAAAGTCCATCGTTCTAATTAAAAGTCCTTGTATAAAATAATTAAAAGTCCATCGTTCTAATTAAAAGTCCTTGTATAAAATAATTAAAAGTCCATGGTTCTAATTAAAAGTCCTTTACATAGATTAAAACCCACACGAAGTGTGACTCTGTTTTCTTCTTATAATACATATACTAAGAATTACATAAACATAAACATAAAAAAATTACATATACTAAGAATTACATAAACATAAACATAAAAAAATTACATAAACATAAACATAAACATACTAAGAATTACATATACTAAGAATTACATAAACATAAACATAAAAAAATTACATAAATATAAACATAAACATACTAAGAATTACATATACTAAGAATTACATAAACATAAACATAAAAAAATTACATAAACATACCAAATAATAAAACACACCAAATAAAATAACATAAACATACCGAATTAAAAAAAACACACTAAATGAACTTAATTATCTTCAGCTTGTTTTAATGCCCACTGGTGCTCTATCAAGTCAATTTGTTGGGCATTGTGCATGTCTGACATTTGAAATGCAGTATATCGTTGAATGAGCCTTTCATTGTAACGTCCATCCCTTTGTAATGGGTCATGTTGCACGGGCTCATCGGTGGCGTCATGAGCACAATATATACGTGTTCTTGAATTGTTCATCGGGTCTGGCTCATATTCATCAACAACTTCATAATCGTACTCATCTTCCACAATTATGTTGTGAAGAATGATGCACGTCATCATGATGGATCGAAGCGACTCTAAATCAAACAATCTGGCAGCACCTCTGACGATCAACCAGCGAGCTTGGAGGATACCGAAACAACGCTCCACATCCTTCCTGCACCCCTCTTGACAGCTTGCAAAGTGTTTTTCCTTTGCACTTCGCGGACGTGGCACTGTTTTGACAAATGTTGACCAGCGCGGGTAGATGCCGTCAGCTAGTTAGTATGGCCTGTCGTACATACGTTCGTTGACCTCATACGTAACTTTTGATGCCTTTCCTTGCAGCACATCGTTGAACACTGGGGATTGGGCAAGGACGTTGATGTCATTTTGAGCTCCCGGGACCCCGAAAAAGGCGTGCCAAATCCATGTATCAAAAGATGCCACCGCCTCCAGAATGATACTTTTTGCTCCTTTTCTGTCCCCGTAAGCGCCTTGCCATGCACTTGGACAGTTTTTCCACGTCCAGTGCATACAATCAATGTTTCCAATCATCCCAGGAAAGCCACGCATCTCCGCCTTCTTCAACAGCCGCTCCAAGTCCTTGTGTGTAGGTTTGCGGAGGTACTCATCGGTGTTGATAGATTCGATTGCTCCGCAAAACCTCATCAGGGACTCAAGAATGGTTGATTTCCCCATCCTCGTTATCTCATCCACTTGGTCTGCAGATGCTCCATATGCAAGCATCCGCAAGGCAGCAGTAATTTTTTGCTCAGGTAATAGACCCATAGCACCAAAAGCATCTTTTTTTTGCACAAAATAAGAATCATGGTTGCAAACAGGAATCATGATTTTGTTGAACAAATGTCGTTCCATTCTAAAACGACGTCTAAAGTACGTATCAGGGAATGCACTATTAGGAACAAAATAATCATCCAAGAGTTCCATACCTCGTTGTTGCCTGCTTCTATCAAGGTTTCCGGAACGGCTGGGCCTGCAGATCTGAGCCGCAGCTTGGATGACTCGACGGGAATGTGAGGCTCTGCCCTTTCTTACTTCGTCATCTCTCATTTGACGCTCCTCATCCTCTTTCCTCTCATTTCTTACCCCTGGTGATTGAACATTGCTTCTGATTCGTTAAACAATTCTTCCTCTTCCTGATTAAATTCCCACATCATCCTTGAGGAAGAAGAAGAAGACATTGAAAGAAAGAAACAGAAACTATGAATAATGATACAGATTTTTGTGAATAAGGAAGCAGAAACTATGAATACTGATAGAGATCTTGAGAATTTTGGTGTGAGATTTGTGAGGATGGATGGTGGATTATATAGAGGATCCAGAAAGGATTAGGTTGTGCATAATGCCACATGGCATGCCGTCATTCGTTACAAATCTGATGGAAATCTATCCTCAAAGATTGTGAACAGATTATGACATGTGGCATGCCATCATTCGTTAAAAATCTGATGGAAATCTATCCTCAAAGATTGTGAACAGATTATGACATGTGGCGCGACGTGATTGGTTAATAATCTTATCAGAAATCCATCACCAATAATTGTATTATTTTGTATTATTTAATAATACTTCGGATAATGACACGTGGCGCAACGAGAACGATTACAAATCTTATCCGATATTACAATTAAAATTATTTTGTATTATTTTATAAATAAAAAAAATACTAATATTTTATTGCCTATTGCCAGGGCTAATGAAGTGTAACGGTGGAGATGCAAATTCTATTGCCAGGGCTATTTACTGTTCATTAAGGGCAGTTACTGTTCATTAGGTGGATTGAATAGTGCATTGCCAGGGGGGAGGGCTCCAACGCCGGAGTTGCTCTTATGGAACAATGATGAAACTGTAGAATGTTGTGTTTGAAACGTTGAGTGATGTAATGGTTTGGAATGTCTGTCAAACTAGTCTTTTGAAGTACACATCAAATGTACTTGACTTGTTAGTTGTTTAGCAATCGCGTGTGTATGATTTAAATGATTTTGTGTGCGTACTCTTAACAAGGGAAGGATTCCCAACTACATCAACCCAACCCTTGGATGAAATGAAGTTTTTCCATTTCGTCCATCTCTTGGGTGTTCTGGATTGTTGACTTGAATTATATTTCGGTTTGTGTCTAGTGTCCCATGGGGAGGATACTGTTGCCAATGGCGTTGTTCAGTATTGTGTAGTGATAGAGCTGCGTAGACGATTGCGTGGGGTTCCAATACAGGCTGAGAGATATTGAAGATTATCTAATCTCTAATAAGATAAAATTATCTCAAATTTAATAGAGGAGAAGAGAGTGTGATGGCAATACCCTTAAAAAATGCAGGCAGGCAGCACGTTAGATCAATCTTCATAAAAGTTTAGGTAAAACTAAAATTCAAATCATTAGTTAACGGAAACAACGTGGAACACGCGGAATTGAAGCTGTAGAGAGAAGGAACCCTGATGACAGGGAAGAA